CTCAGGCTCGGACGCCACGCCGCGGCGTTCCTGCTTCTCTTTTTTTTTTGCCCCTCTCCGACACCGCCTGAAGAAAAGAATTCGTCGTCGCGACTTTTCCTCTTGCCCGAAAACGAGCCACTGTCGGTCGGAACGCGAATCGCGAGACTCGTTTCCGGTGAAAATCGTACGTGAAACGAGACACCTGAATGATCGAAACCGTGAGAAAAACTTGGATCGACCAGTTGAAACGTTTACTTTTACGACGGAGTCCTGGAAGACCGATACGTGGTCAATTTTCGTCCGTACGCGTTCGTTTACGCGTCGAATCTTTTACGATTTTAAACACGATACGTGTCGTTCATTTTCCACGTTAACGCGATCGAAGAGCCATCGTAACGCGAACAAGCGATCGAACAGTGGCGACGCTCGTTCGCCGATGTTTACGTAAATTATACCGCGCCGCGAGAATGCATGGTTGGCGCGTAAAAGCGAAGAAAACCGAAGGAAAAATGTGAAATCGTGGAAAAATCGTTGGTCGGTTATCGAGAACTGAGATGTCAGGAGGTTAAACACGAGGGATAACGAAAGTGGAAAAGTGTCGTGTCGCGACGCAATTTCGCGGTTATTTTTCGCGTGTTTCACCGGCCTTCCGTAAAAACCGATGCACGAGCGACAATTACACAGGGAAAGCGAAATATTAACGTGCAGACCGTTCGAGCAGCCCTCGCGGAACAATTAACCGAGACTCGGAACGAGATATCGTCGTTTCGTTTTCGTTCGCGTGACAAAACTCTTACGTGATAGTTAGGCGAACGAACGAGACTCGCGAATTCTTTACAAGTCGCGGTTCCGCCGCGCCGCTCTACGACACGCGTTTATCGCGCGACTCATTGACGCGGTACAAGCGTGGCAAAAGTTTCAGGAAACGCGAGCCGAGCTCGCGGCACGCGTTACGATACGCGTCCCGAGCCGAAGCGGCGAGCGTAAACTTTGAAACGCGTTTAGCCGGACAAAATTGGTCTCGACACGAACGCCGTTCTTGTATCGCGTCGCATTGTTTCGCTTTCCATCGAAACGGAATCTGCGAAAGAATAAACGCGAGTCACGCGACTAAGCAAACACCGTGGAAAAAGCGTAACGACGATTACGCTTTCCGATTCGATCGGGTAGTTCGATCGAAAATTCCTAAATGTTCGGCTCGAAGAAACGGGAACATTCGGTTTGGCCGTCAGCGGGCTACGGTAGAGCGTTGCGAACGACAGCTGTCAAATAAATGTTGGAAAAAAGCGCTAGTCGAGCGAAATTTCGAGTGGAACGACGGTCGGAGGGGTGCTTGGTCACCCCAGCGAGACACCCTTAGCCCGCGGGGCAAAAGGCACCGTACGATTTTTCCACGAGTCGAGACTCGGCTCGAGATACACGCTCGATTAGTCATCGTCGTCGAGAAGAAACGAAAGAAGACGAAACTTCGTCGGAGGAAAAACCGTGATAATTTCGGATATTAACGGGCGGAAGGAACGGACGGCGAGCGTATTTCGTTGGTGTCGCGGCGGAAGGAGAACTCGAACGGAAACAAGGCGCGAAGTTTATTCGCGTTTGGCCAGCGTCCAAATTTTCGCCGAAATAAAAACGGCGTAACACACGCTTCGTTACGGTTTCACCGGCCTTCCGTAAAAACCGATGCACGAGCGACAATTACACAGGGAAAGCGAAATATTAACGTGCAGACCGTTCGAGCAGCCCTCGCGGAACAATTAACCGAGACTCGGAACGAGATATCGTCGTTTCGTTTTCGTTCGCGTGACAAAACTCTTACGTGATAGTTAGGCGAACGAACGAGACTCGCGAATTCTTTACAAGTCGCGGTTCCGCCGCGCCGCTCTACGACACGCGTTTATCGCGCGACTCATTGACGCGGTACAAGCGTGGCAAAAGTTTCAGGAAACGCGAGCCGAGCTCGCGGCACGCGTTACGATACGCGTCCCGAGCCGAAGCGGCGAGCGTAAACTTTGAAACGCGTTTAGCCGGACAAAATTGGTCTCGACACGAACGCCGTTCTTGTATCGCGTCGCATTGTTTCGCTTTCCATCGAAACGGAATCTGCGAAAGAATAAACGCGAGTCACGCGACTAAGCAAACACCGTGGAAAAAGCGTAACGACGATTACGCTTTCCGATTCGATCGGGTAGTTCGATCGAAAATTCCTAAATGTTCGGCTCGAAGAAACGGGAACATTCGGTTTGGCCGTCAGCGGGCTACGGTAGAGCGTTGCGAACGACAGCTGTCAAATAAATGTTGGAAAAAAGCGCTAGTCGAGCGAAATTTCGAGTGGAACGACGGTCGGAGGGGTGCTTGGTCACCCCAGCGAGACACCCTTAGCCCGCGGGGCAAAAGGCACCGTACGATTTTTCCACGAGTCGAGACTCGGCTCGAGATACACGCTCGATTAGTCATCGTCGTCGAGAAGAAACGAAAGAAGACGAAACTTCGTCGGAGGAAAAACCGTGATAATTTCGGATATTAACGGGCGGAAGGAACGGACGGCGAGCGTATTTCGTTGGTGTCGCGGCGGAAGGAGAACTCGAACGGAAACAAGGCGCGAAGTTTATTCGCGTTTGGCCAGCGTCCAAATTTTCGCCGAAATAAAAACGGCGTAACACACGCTTCGTTACGTTCGGCTTGGCGGATGCGAGACGACTCGCGGCGGGACGAAGGCGAGAAACGGGTCTGCCTTGTCGAGTTTAACGAAGTAACGGAGGCTAGACGTCCCCCGACGACGTGCCGCAGAAGGGTGGCCTCGTTGCCGCCGCTCGACACCGCCAAGGGGCAAATTTTCGAGGGTGGTTTCGCGCGTCAATGGTTTATTAAGAAGCACTTGTTTAAAGGTAGCCCCATTTCGGTTCCGACAGCCAACTCGACCGCGACGTCTGTGTTACTCGCCTCTACAAACGAACGCGCTCTACGCGATGCCCTGCGACGCGTCATCGTGAACGCGAAACGAGGGACCAGAGATACGCTCACCCCACGCCGATCCGTCGCTTCGCTTCGCGTCGCGTCGCGTCGCGTCGTGTCGGCGTAATTGAAGTTATTGCAATATTGTGTCCTGTCAACCCGGCTGTCCTCCTGTTACCCCCCTCTCTCTTTCCTTCTTCCTATTTCGTTTCTTTTCGACTACTTCCTTCTACGTATACATATACATACAATACATATAAGTAATCCGCGATTTCTATTAGCTGTCTTTAGTTAGTCAATTATAAAGTTTGATTTTTGGCTCGATGATCGACGTAATGGCAATCCGCGCGTTATAAATATACCGTAGAGGGCGAGTATTAGCGCGATCGAGTATCGCTGTCCCTTCGTTACCGAGAGGACCCTCTTGGCGTTCCTCTCGTTTGCGGCAACGCGGAACGCGACCACGCCTGCTTTAATCTCCAGCCCCGGAAGGATAATGCTTCCCAGGATATATGCCTGGCGGGTACGACACGGTCGCTAACCGACTCGCGGTAAACCGCGACGACTCGATTAGAAAGGGAGGTCGAAGGTAGAAAATTTCGCGTTTCGAAGGTTTCGAGACTGTATCGTGTTTTCACCGAGCGACATACGTCGGTGTACGATCGAAAAAAGGAGTTGTTCGCCGCGCTATTTCTATCCCGCGGTGAGCAGAAAATTCAATTCAGGCCGTGAATAACGACTAACAAACCGCAGTTATATCGTAAAAAGCAATGCACCGGGCCGAGAATTAATTCCGGCTAGCTCTCCACCCACCGAAGCCCTTTTTCTCTCTTGCTCCGTTCGCGCCTGTCCCTCCGTTTTTCTCCCTCTGCCTTTCGCTTTCTCTGTCTGTTTCTCTCTAGGTCGGAACTGGAACGGTCCCAAAATTCAATAAAGGCGAACGAGTACGAACGAGATCTCCCTCGGCTACGACTGGCTTTCGTGCGGGGTAGCGACAGAACGGAGTTAGGAGAACCCCGGAGTCATCGCGCGAGAAACGAAAGAGCCGGGGAGGCGAGAGGACAGGCGGGAACGGTGCATACATTAGCGGGGACAGGGTGGAGATATTGTCTGAACAAAGGGATCGGCTCGTACCTATCGAAAAGGCGATTAAGCGAGGATAAAGTTATACCGCCCCTCCTGTCCGACTCGCGCTCCCCGTTAAACTACCCTCTAGCATCGCCCAGGGTGTCGTCGATCGGTTTCGCGTTAAAATCGCTCATCGACCACGCGTCAGCTTTTCGTTTCTCGATCGGTCGGAAAACCGCTTGTAAATTCGTTGCTTCGTTTGTTGCTACGAACGAACGAACGAGCGAGCGAACGAACGAGCGAACGAACGAGCGAACGAACGAGCGAACGAACGAAGAAAGGAAGGTAGAAAGGAAGGGGAAGGAAGGAAGGAACACGTGGTCGAATGGCACGTGGCGGCGAAGGCGAAAAATCATCTCGGCGCGGCGAGGAACGCGCAGCCGTTTCGTGGCCAGCGTTAAATGGCCCGTTGGAACGAGCGAATGCTTTTCAGCCAGCCAACCACGGATGACGCGATAAAGCACGTCGACTAACGCGAGATACGACCAATTAGCCCGCGTGCCAAGTATGCGATTTAAGTCGGCTCTCGAGGTCCCGCCAGAGCCTGCCAACCGGTGGTGATCCCGGACGAAACGAAGCCCTTCTGGCCGCTCGCACGTTGTCCGTTCCCGCCTTTAATCTACGCTCTCTCGTTTCTTTTATTTCGATTCGAAAAAGTAACTACCTTTTGTACCTTGGTTCTCTATTCACGGATGCACCCATTCTGTCGACGATAGTGTTACGAATTTTAATATCGTTACGAGACGACTGTCTGGTAACGCCTAAAGCGATACGCGTCTCTTCCAATTATTCGATACTATTTTTCGAAAGGGATACAACCGATTTTCGGTACTGCCGATAGAGAGCTATCGTGCCATAAACCATAGAGAGGGTTAATCGTGAAAAAAAAAATAAAAAATAAAATAGAAAAGGAACGTCCGTTCCGATCGTCCACTTACCCCGCATGGTCGTAATCGACAGCGCGCAGCATCCTTTTCAACGTCGACGTCCGTCTCTCCTCTTTTCCTCCGTAATTTTTTTCTTTCTATTCCCAGCTGTCGCCGTCTTTCTCCGGCTTCTTCTTTCTCTTTCTTCGCGGCTCTCCTCCGCCCCTCCGGCGCCCGCTCCTGTTATCCGTTTCAGCCCCACCTGTGCACCGTGGATACTCTCCCTCTCCCCCACCACCCCCTGCCG